AAGATAGATCGGTATTTTAGATAATAAAATTATGTGAGAAATATCTTTTATTCTAGTAATCTTGAATAAAAAATGGAAATGACATTCAACTATAAATATTCAAATGATGACTCATGTATAACAAATGTAGAACAAAATTAAACTTGAAATAAAATACAACGAAATATCTAATATTTCATTAAATTTATTATTTTCTAATCTTTTTTTTTTGTAAAATTATGATACAATCCTGTGCGTTTTTTTTTATACAATAGAACTAATTGAGAAACAAATTTATGCAGATTAAAAATTAAACAATTTTTAAATATAAATGTTTATTATTGAGAAAAAAAATTTTTAAATTCCAGAAAATATGTTAAATACGCTAATTTAAAAATATGTAAATTCATCCTCTGATCAATCAATTATTTGAATAATCAAATAAAGAGAATTGTTGTAACATCAATGATATATATATAATTTTCGTACAATTCTGTACGTTTTAATTATTATCATTTAAGAAAAAAATCACAGCCCAAGATGCAAAAATCATCGTTTACTTATCCAAGAAAAAAGAAAATGTTAACGTAGAATAGAAACATCTCTAACAAATCATGGATTTATCCTCAAGAAATTTGAAAACACGTCATGTTTATGTATACGTGTGTTTTAGTACTGGACTCTGAAAAGTTAAGATTCAATCTAAGCAAAAAAAATATATTATTCAATAATAAATAATCTTATTTACATTCTTCTAATTTTTAATTAAGAAATAATTATCCAACAATAATTTAAAATTCATATAAAAGAAGAAAAACAATCAAGCACACGAATTTCACCAATTTACAGAGTGATCATACGACACTTTCATTTCTAAGCTCGATCACAGAGGAATACTTTCGGTTTCACCAGCAGTCAGGCAAATGCGAACGTAAATTCCGATATAAATGCACGATACCGCAGCTCGATACGCTGCAGTTATACGATACGAGAAAAGGCACGAGATCTTTTGCTATCTTAATGGTTTTTAGTTTCTCTAGTACATAGAAACACTGGCTTTCCTCGCCTCAAGTGATTTGGGGAATTTTTTCACGCGCGAATGTTTTTGCAGATCTTTACAATTGATTCGGTTTATATATATATATATATATTTTATCATATGAAAAAACATATAAGTCGCTCGAAATATCGAGATGATTAACATTATAATCTGTAGGAGTGAATTTTCTTAGATTATATATAAGTGCAAGTCATATTATAGATGATTTTAATCAAATATTTGGATAATTTGAAATTATTAAAATTCATATGTAAAAAGATATAACGAGAAGCTCACGGAACTTGCTCGAAGAGCTAGTCAAAAGTCTTAGAAGGGTTTCACGCAGAATACCTTGAAGAGCTACTTTAGAACCATTTGACAGCTCGTTATCTAAAAGCGGGAGATAACACATTTTCAAACCAGACATTTCATCAAACCTTTTTTTTTTTTTAGAATTCACTTAGAATTCCAATCCTCGACAATCTTTACGAAATTCTTGTAACGCAAGATTTACGAGGAGTTAAAATGTTACAAATTATTATAAATTTTTAATTATAATTGTTTAAATTTTTTAGGTCATGTCAATGTCACGTTACATTGGTACAACTCTCATTTCGAAAGTATGTCAAATTCAGTCTCGAATTAATAATTAACTTTCCTTTTGCAAAAATTGACTGCACTATATACTAACTAAATTGACCTATATAACTTCTTTTATTCATGATTAAAAAATTAAAAAAAATTTTTTTTTTTTTAATAAGGATTAGCAATGAAATTTCTGACTAATTTTTTTTTATACTGGATTTACATTAGCTAAGTTACACAATTTCAATCGTTTATTTCATCTAATTGAAATTTAATTTACATTGTAAAACAATTCGAGTTTGATCTATTTATTTGATCAAAAATTGCTTAATGCAAATGCATAATGTGGTTTTAAAAGGAATAATATTATATTTATTCAACAATTGTAATAGAACGTTAAATAATTTATATTTATAATTAATATAAAAAAAGATATATATAAGATATATATATTTATAATTAATATAAAAAAAGATATATATTAGATATATATAATTTTCAGATAAATATTTAAAGACATTAAATTATTAAATACACCTTAAACAATTGACAAAAATAATTCCCTTTTCTATTGTTAATAAAATCTTTTTATTTAAAATTTATTGTATTAATTAACAATTCATCATTAATCCATTTCAATTTCATTCCATATGTTAAAAAAATTAATCATGTTAATCATGTTTAATTGAATCAAAGATATTGCACCGTTCTTTTAATTATAGATATTCAAAGGCAGTCAGAAAATACATTGAGTACCATAGGTTTTTAAATTGTAAGTTTTCAATTGGATGTTTGATTTTATTTATTTTCTTCAATTTGAAACTATTCGTTCGTTTGGACGAGAGTGGTAACTCTAGCATAGCAATACCTTAGACCGGTTCTACCAGATAAGTCTGTATAACCACCATCAAGAAAGCAACTTGGAAACACCTACGAATTAAACGATCTTACGGTATATTGCACAGACTATCGTGTTTTCCTTTACTGAAAATCAAAATAGAAGAGAAATGTAGTTTCTTGTATTTTGAGAGAAAAATATCTTTGATTCTTTTACTTTTGTACTCTACGCGATGACTCATTTTTTTATGATTTTGAAATAAAATGAGAAATGTTGTTATTATTTTATTATAAATTTTGTTATATATTTTAACCCAATATAATGCTAATGAATAGATTGCAGATTTTTATGCAAAAAATATATATGTTCATATTTTATATATCTTAATAAATAAATATGTTTTTTTCGTATGATAGTTAAATAGTATAAAGAATCATATTTTGAATAAAAATATTACGTTTAAATAATAAAGACGAAAAAAAAAAATTCAATTATTACTGAACTACGGATGTTTATCATAAATTGAGATCTTCTTGATTATGAAAATGGAACTTAAATAAATATTGTTAAATATTGTTAAATAAATATTGTAATATGTTTCACCAATGAAATATATATATATATATATATATATATATATATATATTATAATATAATATATATTAATAATATATAATATAATAATATATATTATAATATATACTTTACTTTGAATGTTTTGTATCACATGTGTATTATATATATTTTTGTTCATTTAAAATTTCCATAAATGTATGAAAATCCGCAATCTAATTATTATTTTTTGTAATGTAAAATAATCATTTTCAGTCTGCAAATTAATATTTTTAGATGAATGATATTAATTTATCATTAAAAAAAATGTTATTGTATATTATAATGCAAATTATGATAATAAAATAATTATAATTATAAATATATAATAAAAAAAAATATAATAAATAATAAAATTATTAATATTTTGAAAAAATTCTATTTTGTTAATATCTTATATTGTTTAACATATATTTATCGTCAAACATGTCTATTTTAAATAATTTTAAATAATTTCAAATAATTTAAATTTAATATTTTAAATAATTTTCTACATATTAATTATATATTTAAACATATTTTAATTATATAAAAATTAATAATACTATAATTTATTTATTGTTGTTAAGTTATTGTAATTAATTTCAAAAATATTTTTAGGATATGGTATGAATTATTGATTCAAAATAATTAATCGTAGTGCGTTTAATAAAACTTGTACGAATATTGATAAACTTTCTTTAAATTTTAAATATAAAATATATATTTATAAAACTTAAATAAAAAATTTGAATGATAAAATTTGATAAAAATAATTATTACTATATTAAAAATAATTTTACATATTTAAAATTTCTATTGTTTGAATATATTTATAATTATCTTGATCATAATTGATACAAATTCGAAAATCGAAAAGTATGGTTTGAGTAACACATTCTAATTCATTAAAATTAGTACAAATGTCATATATTATAATATATTACGTAGTCAACTATTATGTAGGTAATACAAATATAAACGAAATGATGTGTCATTTTTTTTTCTCTTCAAAAGTAAAATATACATGCACCTGTTAAGCGCTATTACATAATAAAACATTGAAAAAAAAATCAAATTGCAGTGAATATGTATAAAAAAATTTAATGTATACACACACGCGCGCGCGCGCGCACACACACATACACACACATATATGTATGTATAATGAAGTATATATATCATAATCACATTAAATTATATGTCAATCAATTTTGTATAATTTTATGATTTGCATTGTAATTTACTATTAATATCCTAATAAATTGTTGCATTGATGTATAAAAAATAATTTAAGTTTAAACGAAAATTCTAAAGAAATTAAAATATTTTTTTGAGAAAATTACAATTTATTTTAAAGAAATTATATTTTAAAGAAATTAAATAGAATATAATAAATAGAAATCAAATATTTGACAGATAGTGAAAAATTCATACCACGTGATAATCTAGGGTTCACAATTATTTCATTTAGGGATATGCTAGTAACTAGCATTGAAGATACATCTCTATTTAATATATGCATTATTACACTGAACCAGGTCCAAGAGTTGCATAATTGTCATTTTAAATGAAACTTTGCTACACAAGTGATACATGTGTACCGCTTATATAAGTCATCTTTATAAAAGTAAAAAAAAAATCTAACGAATTACCGACTTATTCGCAAAATCGAATATGATCTCTTAGAACAGTTGTCAATAACAACTATTGTGATATGTCAAATTTTACCATTCATAATCTTATATGAAAAAAGCAAATTACCTGAAGGGTTATGAGACTATATATTAAGATATTTAAATGATAACATTTATTTATTGGATCATACAGAAATATAGAATATATAATTATAAGTGTAAAATTTAGATGATTTGTAAAAAAACAAATTCGTTCCGAACGTATGAACGACTGACATGCTTTTTGAAGAAACCTGTTACAAATATGTATATGTCTTTTCGTGGTACTTACCTTCTCTTTTGCTCTGCCTGCATGTTTTTGCACTGTCTTCGCAATCAATGCACCCTTACTTTCAGCCATTTTCTTCAAATTATTCGAAAGGCGATGACTTATAACTTCTCTCCGCAAAACACAATTTCAACTTCTAAGCTTAACCGACTCTCTTTCACAACGAATCACAACCAAAACGCACGAACGGAAGCGCGGAGAAACACTGAAGACTCGACACGAAACTGCGCGCCGAGGTTGGATTATCACTTTTACAAAGCAGTGCCTACTGGCAGCACTGTACACACTCGTAAATATTTTACCTATCGATATAGTAGAGTAAAGATGACAATAACAGTAAATAAATAAAAAAAAAAATAGATTATATTAAAATTCGCTTAAACTGATTTTGAAAAATTTTTTAAAATTCATAATTTAAAATAATTTTCAGTTATAATTAACATTTAAAGAAAAAGAAATTTCAAAACAATTTCTTTAATTTTTAAATCCATCTTTTAAACAAAATATTAAAAGATATAATTTAATTCATATATAGTTAAATATAATGTTGAGTATAAAAAATTCGTTATTTATTAACATAATTTCAATAAATATATGTATTCTATATGTATTCTTAGAATTACAAAATGATTTATAAAAAAAAATTGCAATATTTATATTTATTATTAAAATATTAATATATATATTTTATTTTTATTATTAAATGTAATTTATATAATCATATACATAATATAAAATAATAAAAATATACAATTAGTAAATATATAATTGGTATTTGTATAATCATCTTTCATTAATATATGATATAAATATTATAATTTGAACATGAACATGAAAACAAAAATTTATTTAAAATATCACGTGTTATAAAGAGATGTAAAATGAGATAATTATGAATTATCAAAAATCTTAACAATGCAAAGATCTTAATAATGCAAAGAGTAAAAAATTAGTAAACATAGTAATTTTATTATTTCTCCATTAATAAAAATAATTCAAAAATAATTTGAATACTAAAAAATAAACTATTTATTAACTAATATTATATGCCAATTTTGTATTAAATCAAATATATCATAGTAAAATAATTTATAAAAGATATTACATAAATAAGAAGATTAAACAAGAAATTATTAATATTACAATTTACAAATACGATTGAATAAAACAATGAGGTTTCAAAATATTATAATAATATAAGTATTGTAACATTAAAATATCTCAAATTTATTTTCATCTAAATAAATTAAACTATAAAATTTTATTGCATACTTATGTATTTTTGTTTTATTGTTAAATAAGTTTATATTTTTTTTATATTTTCAAATTATAATATTTATGAATAATGAAGTATGACTATATGAATAATTGTGCATATATTTGTGCAATTTTTTAAATATTTATTAAGTATATCAAATATATTGTTAATTAATATTATACACACACACCACACACACACACATATATATATATATATTATATATATATATACATGTATATGTATATTTCACATTTTTCATTTTTCTTTTTGCAAATTATTCTATATTTATAATATTTATAATTTCTACAAGAATATATATTTATTTATTGAAATTATGTTAATAAATGAAATTTTGTCTATATTTTTGTTGAAATTAATTACTGTACGAATACTTTTAATATTCACATAATCAAGTTACTTGATTATAATTCAATTGCTAATTATAAATATGAATTTTTAATGATTTAGATCATAAAACATTAGTTTGTATAAAACAAAATATAATTAATAGAATTTTTTAGTTTGTAGAATATTAAAAATTGTAATTAAAATCATGAATATAATAACTTCATATATATATGAATATTAAAAAGTGAAAAAAAAGGATAATAATATATATAATCACACATAATCCTTGATTTGTAAATGATTTTATTAATAAATTATTTTTTCTTATTTTGATGAGGATTGTTCGAAATAAACAAACGTTATGATAAAAATCCACTTTAACAACGGAACAGACAGACAATACAGAGATGTAATAGTTCTGATAATAGAAGGTGATAGATTCCCTTACATAAATGGTCTATCCAAAATTGCAATTGACAAAAGTGTATGTGTCGCGGGACGCGCGGAATGTTTAATTATTTATAATTTAATTTTTTAATTATTTATAATTTAACTTTTAATATGACATCCGCGCGAGCCGCAATTACAAATTGCAGATTGGAAATTTACAGATTGGACCTGTACATGTCATATACTCATTGTACCTAATATAAATTTGCTTTAGTCTTGGAAAAATTGGATAAGGCCATAACCAAACTGGCGACAAAGAGGCGCCAGATCCTCGACTCTACCATAATTTTTTTCTTATAAAACCGATCCTCTCTTGCACTCTCACTCGCTATTTCACTCCCATCCATTCTCACGATCACGTAGTTAATTGGTAGTCCGTCCAGTAACTATTTACCACAGTCTCACCATTAACTACATTGACTGATCCATCTTTTATTTTTGCGCCTATTTCTCGAGATTTTGTCTTTCCATTCTAATCTAAATTTTGCGTTTCTGACTTTTTTTTAAATATAATTCAAAAGTGCGAAAGCGCAAGTGTAAATATTTGTTTTTTCAAATCATAATTGTAATTTAATATTAATAATAATATTAATGATCATTATCCATTAACTTCGCACTTCAATCATCACGAGATGTGTCAGCGCTATGGTAACTTCAGAGACAGAAATTAAAGGTAATTATGATTTATAGCAATTTTGATTTTTTTTCTTTTTATTTAATATTATGTTCCAAATATTTAAACTTGTTGTTATGTATAAACGATACAAATGCAACAAGTAATTCTATTGTTATCGTATAAAATCGTACGATTTAGTGATATAAAAACATCTAACTGTTATAGATGAATATTTATAATTTGGTACAGGAAAATATTACAATAATTTTACTAATCAAATGAATTTGTTATATTATAGAGCATAACACATAAAATATGGAATGCCCAAAAGTAAATAACAGTAATCTTAACAGCCATGTTATGCATGGCATATTGCCATTATACACATAAACATTTGGAACTTAAAATTTATAAAAAATTACAAAAAGTACCACAATATCAATTGTGTATTCTTATATTATTTCGCAGTTTCGTTCAAGATTTCTTGAAATATTAAAACTTTTTAACTTATATCAAAATAATGAAATTGAAAATACTAAAATACTTTTTATGTGTTAAACTGATTTGTTTTTTTTTTTTTTTTTCATATCAATTATACATTTCAAATATTATTATTCTAACAAACGAAACTTCTTTTATTTTTTCATTCTTATGATGTAAATTCCTATCTTAATACATCTTTCATAGATATAAGCTCAATATATGAGCAACATATATTTATCTCTTTATTTTCTGTCCCAAAAATCACAGAGGCATAATGCACCTCAATGTATGGTGTAAACCTGTACAAAAGTTGTTCCTCATTTACTCTATACTTATTCATGGTACAATAATAATGTATTTAAAATGTAACTTATGTAACCTTAGTACTGATTAACGATGACTGCATTCCAGCGTGACCAGCCTTTGGCCGACTGGAGCTAACAGACAAATATGCTCCTTCAAGTGTAAAACTTCACTGTTGCTTTTTTCCGAGTCTTTCAATATCTGATCTTTCACCCACTATGCAACACCACTAATATTCTAACTATATACTCTATATAAAATATCGTTAGTATAACTAAAACGCGCTGTGTCCAGCTGGAATGCAGTCCTATTTTATGCCATCATTATCCTCTTTTTCATTTTCATTCACATTCCTCTTCAATGGTATTTTTTTGTTATCCCACAGACAATTTGTCAGTCAATGATTTAATGATATATTCACACCACTAACTGTAGTCTGTCATTGGTCGGTCAATTAATTTGATTCCCAGATGGTCACATCTCAATTATTATTATTTATATGAATTTTACACTCATTCAACAGTATCAGAAGCCTGCTCTTTATGGTTCTAATTCCCTGAATCTCCACCGTCTTCATGTTTTCTCTTCTTACCTCTAGCGGGAGACGATTCTATAAAAGGCAATAGAACTATATAATAAAATCGATAGTATTACGATTCTTTTGATTCTTAATTAATTAATCTGATCTTTTTTATAAATAACATTAGAAATTATGTTTTAAAATAAAAAAATATAGTTATATAAAATATTTTTTAGATCACAATAGATATATTTTAATTCAAACATATTTATAAATTTATTTACCTTCTTCTTCATCTTGTTCATCATCTTCATTATCATCGTCATCCTCTTCTTCTTCTTCATCACAAAGAAAATCATCTTCATCACTTTCATCCTGTTATATGAATTAAATAAATACAAATTCATGAAATTTATAATATAATAAATAATTTAATAATTAATAAATAATTTATTAAATGTGAACAATACTATTATTTTTAATATTACAATAATATAATTATTTTTAATATCGTTATAATAAAATTTATAACATGATGACTTACTTCAAGACCATCTTTGTATACAGCTTCTAATCCTACACCACCATCATCAAAATCTTCTTCATCCTCTTCATCTGAAACTAAAAATTTTATATTTATAGTTAAAAATGTATCATTTTATTTTGATAAATATTTTTAATTGTGAATTTCTAACTAACCTTCCTCACTATCTTCTTCATTGGCATCACCATCTCCATCTTCATTTCCATTTACTTCATCATCTTCCCCTTCACTATCATCTACTTCACAATCATCTGTGTCAAATCTGTTGTATATATAACAAAATATTTAAAAATTTATATTTTAATATATACAAAATATAGAAAAATATTAATGAATTAAATAAATGAAACATATACATTTCTTTTAAATTACATACCCATCAAGACATCGAAGACTGGGAATAAGGCTAAAAACTTTCTCTCTATAATTGTCCAAGTTTGTCACTTCATTGTTAAAAAGATCAAGATTTTTCAAATTCTTAAACTCTTTCTACAAAAAAATTATTAATACTTAACTTACATTTAACACTTAAAACAAAAATATACATATAATATATATTAAAAATAATAGAACTTACTAAAGGTTGAAGTGTATCAAGATCTTTGATCTTGTTTCCACTAAGATTAAGATGAGTTAATTTGGGACTTGATTGAAGAAGATTTAAACCTCCAGAAATTCTGTTGTCGCTAAGTTCCAACTATGCAAAATAATAAGAATAGTTTAACATTATTTTAATGAGTCTTTTATAAAATTTTATATTGCATTCATAAAATATTAAAATATAAACTAAAATATTATATAGTAATAATTAAATAGTAATTAAAATAGTAATTAAATAGTATATATTTAAGTATTATATATATAATATATAATATATATACAATATAATATATAATAATCAAAAAATAATTACACAAAATATATTTCATATTTTTTTAAATTTTATTGATATATTTGTTTACCTTTTTAAGACTTGATAGTCTTGGAAAGCCTTTTAGACTGGTAAGACCCACATTAATGAGACTTAGTGATTCTAATGCAACAAATTCATCTGTTAGACCAACTATATGTGTACTTCTGCAATTGTCAAGAACAAGTTCTTTGATCTGAAAAAATAATAATTTTTATATAAACAACAATTAAATTTTTTTTCTAATATTTTTAATATTCTAATTTTTAATTTTAAAATAATTACACATTTTATAAAAATAATAAATCACATTTTATTCAATTATACAAAATAGATAAAAACTACTTTCATTTATTAAAACCAAACATAAGTAATCATGTTTTACAATAAATATAATTTTATATACAATATTAGAAATAAAAGTACATAAAAATAAAATTTAAAAACCAAAATTAAAATCTTTTTTAATTAAAAATAATCAATTTCTAAATATATTGTTTCTGCATTAATTATTTAAATTTTAATGATTTGAATAAAGATTTTCGAAAATCATGAAACATTTTGATTAAAAGAATTATTTGTGAATAATACTATTGCATTTTTAATTATATAAGCTGACTACAATAAAGATGTGAATGAAAACTTAGTGATATAGGTGAAAAAGGTGATAATAATCGCTAAAATTCAAACGAACGATAAGCTTTCGCGGGAGATGGGCTATTTTATTGATCGGAGAAAGAGAAAGGTGAGAGAGAGGGGAGATAGAAAGGAGACAGGAGAAACAGGGGAGAGAAGTGTGAAGGGGTGTTCGGGATACAGGGGTGATGGTAGTAGAGTGCACGACGCGTCTTGTTTAGCGGCATCAGAAAAGCCGGCAAGCGATAAGTACTGACTGTGGCACGCGACAGAAGCGAATCCGAGCAGTCTCAAGTTCTAATGTTATCGAAATTCATTTTATCTCAACTTATCATAAGTTAAAATGAATTTCTATACAATTCATTTTGTTTGAAATTAAATATTATTTGAAATCAAATATTAAAAATATAATTACGCTATATTATTTACTTTTTTAATGATTTGAAAAAATTTTACATAATAAATTAAAAAATTAATTTGTTAATTGCTATTTCATAAAATTTTGATTTAAGCCGAATAAATTGATGCGTAGCAAATTTTAGTGGCGACAAACCGCTTTCACACGAAGCCTCGAAGTCGTCACATGTCCTTATCTTAGATTCACTGCCCGACATTCCGACCGGCCGGCTGATTGGTTGCGTCGTGCGTTGCACTGATCGTAGTGGAAGCGTTTATGAGAAGTTGCCGTGGCTTATAGGAGCGGATCAATGACAACTACAAGTTAACTGATAATAAGAGATGGATAGAAGGAAATATTTCACTTAAATTTAACATTAAATAAATGAAAATAAAAAATCTACTTTTATTATATATGCATTTTATAGAATAGGTATAACAGATTCGTATAGATATAATATTCATAATAGATATATAAATTGAAATGAGATAAAGATAATTTAGAAATAAAAAAAATAATTTAGAAATAAATATTTTTTCAAAATAGAATTTAAAAAATTATTCTATATAATAAATATTTTATATTAATATTAGATTAATAAATAATTATATTATATTAATAAATAAATAATATTATAATATTAAATAAAATTATATATTTTTATATAATAATAATTTACTATTTATTTTTTTAACATATCTATTTAAAATTATTAATAAAAAATATTTAATAATATTAATTTTAATATTTAAAAATATATTTAAATAATATTTAAAAATAATATATAAAAAATATTTTCAATTTTAAAATAATAATAATAAGATAATATAATATAATTTTTCATATTAATAAAACATGCTACTGTATAATATTGTAGCTTTATATACAATAGTTTATGAAGTAGTAGCTACGGCACTGCTGAATGAACTGCATCGCAACGCCGGTGGTTTACGTGATGCAAACGCCCACGCATATATATTTTATATTAATGTATCAAAAGAATCTAAATGATAGTGTTGAATGTGATTCAATTAAAATAATAAAATTCATTATATAAGATAAAAATGTGAAAAATGATTATTTTGATTTTCTTATTGCTTCGAAACGTACGCGTGTCAGTTGGTGACAGAGTGGACTCGTCCAAGATGGCTGCACAGTGATCAGTAACACGCCATAAGACACAGTCATAGATTAGATATATGAGAAATCTTATGATCAATTCAGCATCAATTATATACATTATAATGAGCGAAAATAACTTTAGAACATAAGCTATCCTAAAAGATGTAGCGAAATTTAATTGTCAATAAGAATACACCCGCGCGCACCGGAAAACAATGGCGACGTTCACTCGCACGCGCATCTCATGGCAGCACCTCATGGTACACACAACTCTTCCCGCTGGTAGTCGATTTACATAATATACTTATGCTATTTGTGAAAAAAATATTTAAACCATATAAAATATAAGTTGAAAAAAAATATCACAACATTAATTATTACACACGAGCACAATTATATTTTTACGTATGCTAAGATCTATATTAAGACGTAAAAGAATGTTTATCATTAAATGATTTCTAGCATAAAATAAGAATAATAATTTGTTGCTTTTTTATATCAAATTGTACATAATAAGCATATCTTTTAATTTTTACACAATAATTTATAAATAGAAAGAGAATTAAATTTTGTAATTATATTTAAATATTGTATCATATGTCACTTAATTACAATGTTTTCATAAAAATAATAAATCAATTTATATGTATATGTAACAAAGAAATGAAATACGAGATAAAATTACGATCTTCAGATCTTATTGTCCCATAAATTCTTTCAAGTTCAAGTTTTCATTTGACCTTGATGGATTTAACGTTCTTAGAATACCGAAAATCGCGGTCAAAGGACTGTTAACTTCTGACATAATACTTTATATGTAAGCAACTGTAACTTGTCAGCAGATGTATATGAGATTGCATATGTTTCAAAACTTGTTCGAAAGGGGCACCATCTTGTCAAAGCCTTTTTGTACTTCGTTATTGCGTTGTACATAAAATCAACGAAAAACAATGAGAAAAATATTTTAATAGCTATATGTATTTAAAATGAAGTCTTCTTATAAATGAAAACACCTTGTAGACAATCTGTTAAGATGTGGTTGCTCCTGTTAATAGGAACACACATACGATGCACGGTAGTTTAAAAAGAGGGACTCCTAGAGACAGCCACGCCACGCTATAATTTGATCACACGACTTGCGTATAACACGGCATTTAAATGAGAAATGATTATGTTTGAAATTATTTGATTCTCAAAAAAATTTAATTTTTATAATTTTTAATTAATATAGCGAATACAAATATTAGTACTAAAACTTTTTGAAATATTATTTTTATATATTTCTAAAAATATCTTTATAATGAATCTTTTATAAACTTACTATATTTTATAATATATTATACTATATATTATAAAATTACTATATATTAAAAATATTTATATTAAAAAATGTTCTGTTTAATTCTTTTTTATATTTTGAAAAATGATTTTTATATAATATTACATTAAAATTTTTCTATAAAATTAATATAAAAAGTTACTAATTTATTAATTTATTAAAAATTTATTAAAAAAATCTTTTTACTTGACTGTTTTCCTTTAATTATTTCAATTTAAAGAAAAAAATTTAAGCAATATAAGTAATATATAAATTTGCATAAAAGTTTATTATGAAATAATTTAGAGATTTAGAAAAAGTTTAGTAATTATTAGTATTGTAAATTATATTATAAAAATAAAAATGAATTTACAACATATTTAAATATTTAATATTTATAAATATAATAATAATAAATAATATTTATATAAATTTATATAATTTATATAATATTATATAAATATATTATTTCACTAATTCATTAAATTGATTGAAATTCGTACAGAAAAAATCAGCCATTACAAAGAGTAATATCTCCATTGATTAAACATGTTTTACTTTCTATGCCAACGACGCTGATTCTACGATGTATTACATCACAAATCAGCAAGATGTAGTATATATAATACTATATATTTTGTAGTAAATGAAATAATTCAAGTTCAAATGTATTTAACTGTGGGTTGTATGGTGTTTTCTCTATAAACGTAATAACATCTGCGGCGCGATAAGGGACACTTTGTAATTCAGTAGAAAGCTTCATATGCTAGAAAAACTTAGGAAAACTTGATAAACGATTGGTTGATCAACTATTCGTTGAATTCAGTCAACCAATCGGATCTCGAGTTTCTTAGTTTTCCAGCTAATAGGATACAACTGGCCTGGCAATGTTCTTAACTGGATCGGTTTCTTCGAGTTTTCCGCCGATCTGGTAAGAAAACACACACGATAACAGAGTACAAATTCTAAATAATAAAAAGAAAATAAAAAGGGAAACAATAGAAAAAAATGCGTCATGTCGAGACGAAGTAATGAAAAATCAAGGAGACAGGCCATTTAAGCGAACCACGCCATGCCTGTTACTCTTGTGGCAATCATAGCATCTCGTGTCGGCATCGAGAACACGTCTTCTTGTCCGATAAATCGTCGAAGCCACGCGGTCGCCGTCAAGAAATCCGAGTTCTCGTGCGTCTTCGAGTAGCCAGTGGCGTGCCGCAGAGCGAGTGCGTGGTGTCGGTGTCGCGCGAGGGAACACGATTCTCTCTACACTCGCTCTCAAACCTGCACACGATAGAACACCAAGCACGCAACAACCCGCGGTATCGTCTCGTGTCGAGCAAAGCAATATAATAAAATAAATGGGGTTCGGCTTACTTCACCGGGGTTTCTTCCCCGTTTTTCGAGTTCTATCCGCTTCTCCATGGCCGGCAGACCCGTTCGTAGCTCTGTACACAGATCACTACACCTTCCTGCGTCGCAACAACTAGTCGCAACCTTGCTTTCAAACCCGGAATATGACGGACGGACCACGGTCGGTCACTAGTCGGACAGAGCCACCACCGTACCGAGGAGCCAACCCAACGGCGGTTCGATTCTGGCCTAGGCCCTATGCTCTCTACACTCGACTCACCGGACTGGCGGAGCCCCCACACAATAACAACCCACGAGGCGGGAAACGAAACACATGTCTGGCACTACTTTCGAAGCGACCAATCCTGTTCTTTTGTTCGCTCGCGGTACCGATCGACTTGACATCTTACGGTCTTTTAGACAACTTTAATTTAACGCGCCTAAATTCATTTCCTTTATATAGCTGATTAGAATGATAGATTTTTCGTTTATACAATGATCGAGCACTTTTATAGTTAATACTTAAATATTTTATTACGATCAATCCAAATATTAATTTTATGAAAAAATATTTCAAGACTTTCGTTTTTTTTTATTAATGATGAAAGAATTTAGTAGTTTGCACCCGTTACCGCAATCATTTTGAAGCTTCCGGCGCTCGTGTTAGACTATGAAATTTCTTATGCTTACTTTATTTTATATAACATTACCTAAGAAAATCCGTCGTAATTTTATGAGTAACTGACAATTTGACATAAAAATGAAGCAATACTCTTTACTCTAGTATTTGATCATATTAAACAATTGCATATGCGAGGTATCGAAATTGATATCGAAATTCAAATATCGATAAAAAGAAATAATTTGAAGTATATTTCATACTTTTTATCATTTAATTACTAATTATTATTACTTAATATTTTAATTACATATTTTTTAAAATAACAAAATTAAAATATTTAATTATAATATATGGTATTAAAATATTTCTTTTAATATAAATATATATTTATGTATATTATGAATATAAATAATATTGTAAATTTTATATTATTATAAAAAAATAAATTAAAAATTTTGTTTTTTATATTTTATTATATTATTTCATTTATAGATTTATTTTTAATATTGTTATTATTATTAATTAAACATTATATATAAACATTTTTTTAAGACAGTATTACTAATAATTGTTAAATATTTTTAATAATATAATTTCTGCTATAAAATTATTTAAACAAATAAATATTAATTATTTAAACAAATTTTTAAAACATAATAAAAAATAATTATGCTATTACTTAATAATAATTTTAAAATAGAAAAAATTACCTTTATTTGTAATGTATGCATTTTAATATGATATTCTTAATCAAATCATGATATTTGGTGCTCATGTGATCCGCCCCTGCAGGTATAGAATCCGTGAAGGGTTGAGATCAATATGCATTCATTGATTGCTCTGTAGCTGCGCTGCGTCGGTCTCGTCGAATTTATCTTCTTTGTAACACTAAACATTAAGCATGTAGTACCTATCTGTTTGCTTGATTGCATCTTGCGTGCATCTTTTAACATTTGTATAATTGAATTGCAATAATTAAAAAATATGCGTTATAAGATGCTATGTAAGATGCCGTATGTTTTTCATGTTGATACAGCCCCTATGTGGTAAGCAAAGAAGATTTCATAATTTTAAAACTACCTGTTTCATCGATCATCACGTTATGTACAAAGAATTCATGTAAGTTTAATGTATTTTTTAATTAACAATGAATAATTTAATAGTCAAATATTTTAATATAAAATTATTTTTTGATTATTAATTTTATTTAATGATAGTATAAATAGTAATATAATTTAATATTATATTAAAATTTTAAATTGAAAATATTTTAAGAATATTACAATATACTACATTGTATATATTTGCATGTTATAGATTTAAATGATGTATATATATTTTAGTTAATTCAATATTTAAATTAATAATTAATGAATTAAATTATGAATAATTAAATAAAATTAAAAGTTACGTATATGTATAATATATTTTATAATGTATTTTGATTAATATTTGTATTTATCCGATTTTTTATTATTTATATATATATATATATATACATGTACAAAAAAATATTTTATACATGATATAGAAGGCATCTATGATTCGTCAATGTTTACATATAATATAGATCGTATATTAGTTATGAACAATATATATATTGTTCATTTATTAAAAAAACACTATTATGAACAAGATTATTTAAATGAAACATAATGTTTAAAGGTTTTAAATATTTTTATAATTTTTAATCTCTCTTTAATCAAGTATATTTTATTAATACATGAGCATCAATATATTATTTTAAGATATTTAATTTTATAATAATAAAAAACAGTTTATTGCTCTTTATTTCGCTGACTTCTGTCAATTCTATAAGAAATCAGAGAACTAAATTTATGAAAACTACACTTTTCTTATATTGATTGTATATGTATGTATCATAGTGTATTACACGGCCAATCAAATTACTAGTTATAAATAAACATGGCACTCTCTCTTTATAGACTGTTTTCGTCCTCTACGCAGTGTCAAGAACATATTGAGTATATTATATATTTCTATACAGATTATAGTTTCTTATTATGATCATTCAGGTAATATATAATGTATTCAGTCTATAAAGTAATAAAATATCGAATGAGAATATGAAGCATAAAAATGTAACTACGCAATTCGATATAATTTAATTATAATTTTAACTATTTTATCTTATTTGTAAAAATACAAATAAATTCTATAATAAATATAATGAAAATATAAATATTCTAAAGATACTATAATTATATATCATATAATTATACAAAAATTTTATTAGAAAAAAAAAAATATATTTCTTTGTCAATGTATATGTATACATAAATTCATGTAAAAAATACTTATATATTATTGCAATAAACAATCCATTTTGTTACATTGTGCATTAGTTAGCTACATCTCAAAATACTATAATATATATATATATATATATTATATAATACATAATATATAATATATATATAAATATAAATAATTTTATTTCAATTTAATAACTATTTAAAAAATATAAACAATATAAGAAAATACATAATGAACTATTATACAATTTATAGTTTTGAAGTTTCATAGTAATCGCTTTTATAACACAAATTATTACACTGGATTATTATGAATTAACTTACTTATTAAATGAAATAACTATAATGAAATATTAATTATCATGAAATAAAGATATTAACCCTCTATAACGATATGTCACTTGAAAATTATACATATTCACATATTTATATTTTTAAATCTTATTTGCATCTTATTGCATTCATATTTTTATGAATTATGGCAGTAAATAATTCATTTTACATTGTTATATTGTGCAATAAATTCAGAGCTTACATTTTAAAAGTATATATTATAAGTAATAATATATATATATATATAAATATAAATAATAGCAAAATTATTAATTTTTTAATTTTCAATAAAAGCAAAAGCACTACAGAGAATTATAACTTTTTCTTTATAAAAAAATAAAATTCTTAGTTATAGAGAGTTAAAAAAAATATATTGATGAATAAAATTATAAATAAATCATTATATAAAATATATAAGATTTCTTTCTCTCCTAAAGGCATCTATAACAAATCATAATTTATACTATTAAGATATTCACATTAATGTAAATGATATGTATGTATTTTTCACACACAGCAAAAAAAAAATTTGTTAAAGTTTTACTTAAATACAATAAACTAAAATTTTCAAAATATTTATGTACAATATCTCTAGAAATAAATCATTATATGTATATACATATTATTTATATATATATATATATATATACATACATATATACATATAAAACTATACGTGTATCAAATAATGCGTTTTTATTTCAAATATTTATAATAAAAATATATTATTTTATATTATTAATTAAATAGAATACAGATTAATTAATAGTCTTATTTCAAATATTAATTTAATTAGATATTAGAAACTTTAAAAATATAATAAAAAAAATATTATTTTGTAACTATTTTATATTAATTCATTATAAATAATTTATAATTTATAAATATGTTGTTTATGTCCAAAATAAAATTTTATTTTCGAATTTCTTCAAAGAGATTTTTATTTTTGATGATAAATCTTTAAACATTTGAATGGATTGAACAATTGTATAATGAAGTAGAGTTTTCAATAAGAATAATAATAACAAATATCACAGAATTTTAAGAAGCTATAATAAAGAAAAGGAATTATGAATATACACAATTCAAATTATTTTCGGAAGTTACAAAAAATATATTTATTTATCGAGAATTAATATTTCTTCATTCAATGAAGAAAATAATTATATTTATTTTCTTAATAGTATTTAATACACGTATAGAAATATTTAATATAAATTAAAAAATATGGCCAAGTAAGCACATGCGCGTATACATACACGCTCAAATAAAATAAAAAAAATATATCTTGAATTCTTATAGAAATCAAGGAACTACATGTACCTAAATAGTTTATCGCATATCTATTTTTTATATCTGTGTTTTATATACAAGAAGTTCCATATTAAAAATATGTTTTTTAAAATATAAAATAACATGCATAAAATTATGCGTTCTCTTTTATCCTTTGACATTCACATTCAAGAATATTATATTGAATTATTATCATTATGTAATTCTTTAATACTTATTAATTTTTATTAATTATAATCGGCGATTCCAATGAATTTATATCTGTCGAAAGATATTTTTTACGAGTTCGTACGTACTGTGATGGCGCTGTTCTAATTTGAATATGACAAACTGCTTTTGCATTTTCTTTTGGATCATTAATACACATATTTTGTTTTTTTGAATCTGTAACTTTAACTAAATGAGTACAATTCTTTCTCTTAAGGTTATTAATTTCTTGTCTTATTGGTGCTACAGATGAACGAGTTTTGCGAGGTTGATAATCTGGTGTTGCTTGCATTTTTTCTAAAGCAGTACGTAATGGTAATAAACCAACTGCAAATGGAATTTCTGTATTTGGTGAATTTTCTAGCAAATTTATTCTATTTTTATAATCTTCTGCAAAATCTGTCATATCACCCCATAATGCACGATTTATATGTTCTATTGTATTTAATTTAGGTAACGTAAAAATGGAATCAATATTTGCTGTTTCTGATATGCCACATTTTAATTTACTTGTTATTTTAACTGTTTGCTCATTTTTTTCTTTATTAGATATTATACATTTATTTTTTTTAACAATTAATTTTGTATTTCTACGAGAATTATTAAATGTTTTCTTAATAGGTTGTATTACATTATTAATAACTTGTTCTGGAACTTTACGATCTATGTCCTTTATTTTACGTTTTCTTTTAATACATAATTCCGTTTTATTTGAAAAATTTGATTTTTTAAAATGTTCTTTTCTTTCAGTAGAAGTTTTAATAGTTTCATTATTATTTATAGTTTCTTCTATTTCTTGTTGATTTAATCGTAAACTTCTTCGTAATATTGGTTTTGAACAATTAGAAATTTCAGTATCTTGAGTATTTAATTCTGTTTTATTTATATTATCTTGTTGTGCATTACATTCAATAATTTCTTCTAGTTCTTTACATTTGCTTAATGAATGCTGTTCTGTTAAAGTAGCTCCTACTATAGATTGAATATTTTTAGTATTTAAACTTATAATATATTCAGCACTCTCCATATCTAATGATGTTAAAAGTGTAACTGGTATATCAGTAGTGGACGGCTCATCCAATAAGTCTATACAATCAGTAGATGGTGGATTCTGAATTATGTTATTCATATCTGTTAATTTATTTTTTATTTCATCTATAGATTTTCGTCTTTTATGAGTGTAAACTTTAATACATTTTCCTACTTTATTAGGAACATCAGCACCTTCAAATTTATATTGTGCAAAGTCTTTTTCAATTTGTTGAAGGCAAGATTGTGATAATGACATAGAACTTTCTTCACATTCATCAATATCTGAAAGATCACAGCATTGTTCATATAATATAGGTTTTAATTCGTTATTTGTACACAAAGTATCACTATTTATTATTCTATTTCCAGGATATTCTATTTCCTCATTTGATATTTCTTTCATTTTATCATTTGTTAATAGAATTAAATTTTCATTTCCCATTAATTTTGTAGAATTACCTACTGAAAATAATGTATTAGTTTGTTCTGCATTAGTTTCAAAATCTTGTAACTCTTCATACAATATATGTTCTAATTCTTGTTCAGGAGAATCACTAATTGTATTACCTTCTGAAGATTGATTTTCACTTGTATTCACATCACTATTACTCTTATTACAAAGTACAAAGCACTCGTTCTTAACAAGTTCATTACACTTTACATGTATATAATCTGTATTATTACATGTATTGCTTATAATCTTTGTTTTAGTAACTTCTTTGTCCATGTCATTGATTTCAAAACTTCCTACATTAGAACTCATCATGGCATCAACCACAGTTGTCAATTCTTTAACCTATATGTATACAAAAAATTATTAATATTGATATTGATAGTTTTTTTAATTCATAAAAAAAATTGATTTTTACAGAAAAATTTTATGATTAGTTCTCTAAAAATTTAAATGAAATTATAGTAAACATCTAATAAGTTCAATAATAAGGACACATAAAATATTTTATTCTAATATAGATTTTTTACAAACAAAAAATAATTGATATATGTAATAAAACTTCTTATGTTTAACCTATATATAAATATTAAATAAATAGATTAATTGAATGAGATTACAAGATGATATATTTTATAAACAGAAAATCAAGTTCTAATCTTTATATAGCTATTGATAGTGCTCTTCTAATATTATTTTGTTAGAATTTTATATTTCATAAATTTAAAAAAATATTATTATTATCATTTATTAAAGATTCTACAATTTTTTTATAATAAATGTTTATTCATTTTTATTCAAAAATAATTATGAATTTAAATTTTTTCTAGTATACATTAAAATAAAATTTAAAAAAATTTTTTCATTTATTTTATATATTTAAAAAAATTTATATTTTTTATAAGAAAATCCTATTCTTTAAAAATTTTATAATAATTTTTAGAGTACTAATTATTTATATCAATGTTTATTTTAAATATAATTATATTATACAATATATAATAAAATATTATAACTTTTCATTATTATTTCATTTTATTTCATAAAATATTTCCTTTCATAAAAAATATTAAATATTTCAAATATTAAAAAAAATTAAAACAATTTAATAATACAATTAAATACAAGATGAAACTGATTAAAAAAATAGAAATAAAAAAGAATACATTAAATTATAATTTTTATAATAAATAATATAATATTTGTATATAATAATTATATAATTTATATAATAATATAATTTACTTAATAATAAATATTATAATATGCAATATAAATTTTTATTTTTAAATGTATATTATAATTTTATTTGAAATAAAATTTATATTCAAAATAATTTTTGTTAATAATTATAATATATATTATAATACCAACCTTAAATTTTTTTGTGGCAGTTAACAAAGGTGATAATAATTGATAAGGAATTGTTGTTTCTCCACAATACATGAATTCAACCATGGCCTTCAAAATTTCAAAGTTTAAGTCTTTCAAAAATATAACTGGTTCTTGACCCAAATCTTGTTGTAGAATCTCCTATTACATCAGAAAGTAGAGCAAACAAAACATATTAATAGACACAAATTTTTCATATATATATTTTTTAAATTATGATAAAAATAAAGTGATATTCTATTATTACCTTATTATTTTTTTTATTAATTGTTGTTTTTATAATTTATAATATATTTAATGTTACAAAATTTGATACAATATGCAAAGAACACTTTTAATAGTGTTTAATTTTTTTCTTAGAAAAATTAAAAAATATTTTTATTAGATATATTAGATATATCAGATAGATTGATATTTCATTTAAGAACAAAACATTAACTTTTTAAAACAAAAATTTTATGTATATAATATAATGTAATATAATATAAATATAAATTATAAATAAATACATGCATATTTTAAAATATATTTGATATTATTTTAATTTATTTGGTAAATAAAAAAAGTTAAATATATTCCTAAGAAAACTATTTATTTATAAAAAATTATACTATATTTATTTTTTTATTTTATTTTATTATTTTGATTCCATACAAATTAACTCTTTGATACCTTTATATTCAATAGATCTTCTTCATAAGTTGTAAAAATTATATCCCACAAACATGGTTTCTTCAAATACTTGTAAATAAATAAGGAAATTCCAATATATAAGGTTTTCTTTATTTTATATGAATATTACATAATCCCTGTAAAATTGTCCTTTTATAAGTATTTTATATCTTCTATATACATATATTACTGTATTTATATATATATATATATATATATACACATATACATGTAATACAATTATTATATAGAAACAACATACATGTTATGTAGAAATAATAGATTAAAATTTGAAATTGATATTTAATTAAAATATATTGTAATATTAATAAACTATATATTGATAATTATAATGTAAATAAAATGAAAAGTATTTTCACTATTGTATGTGTTCTTTTTCAATCATTTAACTTAATATTAATTATAATAAAAGGAATTTTTGAGACTAAAATTATATTTATAATAATTAAATATATATTAAATATATATTTAATAATATAATTAAATATAATTAAATATATATTTAATAATATATTAAATATTAAATTTGAAAAAAACTTAATTTCAATTTTCTAAAATTTTTTCACAATTCACAAATTTTTTATATAATTTTTAAAAATAATGAAATTTTAATAAATAATTCCATATATGATATATATAAATCAAAAGATAAATATAAATGTAATATGATTTTTATATATTTGAATTAATATTTTATTAAATTATAAAAATATATAGATTTTTATTATTAAATATAATAATATAAATTTATTTTGAACAAAATTATTTTCATTTTTCAAATAATTTAAAAATTATTTTTAATTAATTTTAAAAAGATATTTCTGTAAATTATAATTACATAAGACAATTAATATTTATTGATTTAATTGATTATTTTTAAAATATAATAAACTTTGAAAATGAAAAAAAATGAAAAATAATATTTATATTCATTATAGCAAAATAATATATAAAAACATAAAATTGATATTAATAATATTATTAGATAATTAATATTCTTTAATTCTATTATGATAACTATACATATAAGTAATTAATTATACAAATAATTTGAGAAAATTAAATTATATATTTTTATTAATCTTGAAATAAATAATATTGAAATTAAAATAAAAAGCTGTATTAATAATATAGCTTTAAAAAAATACATATTTATTATTAAAAATAACTATTAAATATTGAAAATATTTTATCAGAAATTTCACTCATAAATAATTAAATTACATTTTTTGAGCATACTTCGAAATATATAAAATAACTATTAAATATTAAAAATATTTTATCAAAAATTTCACTCATAAATAGTTAAATACATTTTTTGAGCATACCTCGAAATATATACTATTTGATGCTAAAATCAGTTTATGAACACGTAGCTTCTGATCTTCACATACGAGTGTTACATCAACAAGTGCTTGACGTGCCAATAGTCCACTAAATTTTTCTGTAATATATTTTGGATGATCAGTCCATTGTAGGACACAACATTTAGCATTTTCAACCATTGTGTCTATAAATTTTGAAACAGAAAACTATTAGAATTGTAATAAATTAAATAATATAAAAAATCATAATTTTATAATATTTTAATCAACAAATTATATTATATTTCATAAATAATAATATTACATACCGAAATATGATTAAAATGTTAATCTTCCTCTATCAAGAGTAGTTTGAAAAAAAGCACTGAAACCTTTGATGAAATGTATGCAATCAATTTCGATTAATGATAAATAATGATATAGCGCCTTTATACATTTTCTAGTGACTTTCATGAAGCACCACCGGGAATGTCGGTTTATAAAATCACCGAGTTTACACAACATTTGCTCACTAACGTACTGAAATGTACAAAATTAGGACGTAAACGAAACTCAAAAATTAGCCATCTTACATTACGATATAGATATTTTAACCTACGAATATATTGTTTGACATAGAGCAATGATGAGATAATCTTGAACAATTTCAAATTAATTTAATGTGGTGCCATCTTACGTCTCTTAACAGAATATATAATCGTACATAATGAGTTATGAAATTATTTCAAAAATATTTATATTTTTATGTAAAATACATTATATATTTAATAATATTTATGTAATTCACATAGATCAAATATTCATAAATTTAATTTTAATAATAATAAAATTTAACATATTATTTATAATTAATTGAAAAAAAATAATTTAAAATTTAATTTAATTAAATTTTGGTTATAAGTATAAATAAATGAAATAAAAAAATAAAAAAAAAGAATTATTTTAATATTTGTTTATATTATATGTATAATAAACGATTAAAATTAATGAATTTAAAAATAATAAGTCATATTTAATCTATACAATTTATAATTCATAGTTTTAAGTTTAGTAAATTTGGGTAATATAATTAAAGATATGTTCATACATTGCATATAATAAATTTTACTATATAATATGCTATCATATTTTATTATTATATTTAAAATTGCATTATAAAATATAAAGAAACATATTATATAAAAACAAATTTTTAAAAATTTAAAAATAATTTTTTTATTTATTACTTGTTGAAAAAAAAAGATAAAAAAAGATTAAAAAATATTGTAATGTAATATATTATCAATTAATACAATATACTTATAAAACATTTGTATCGACTCTTTATCTTTACTACTCTCATACCATACACTATTTACAATGTGTATGCTTTGAATTTGTCTTTTAATTTTATTATTTCAGCCTTAATAGAAATATATATAACAAGAAACATGAAGAGAATATTTCTAATATAATTATAAGACGCAAAATATTACATGTGATATATTAATGGATTCATTTTGGTAAATAGATGATGAAATTAAAAGAATTAATAAATTATAACAAAAAATTGTTTTTATTTGTAAAACATTAAAAAAACATTAAAACATTAAAAAATTAACCTTTATGTTTGTAGTTATGAATTAATCATGGTATCTATAGTAGAAAATTGATACATTTTTATAGAAAAAAATATTATTAATTACCATATATTTCAAAGTTAATTACAAAAAATTAAAAAAAAAATTTAAAAAAACGTAAAAAAAATTGTTCTAATTTGAATCATAAATTATTTCATACGCAAATTATCTTGTCAACAGCTAAATATTTATTTAGTTAATAAATAATAAAATTTGTTTATATTTTTAAAAATTATATTTTATATATATATATAAATATATATAATAAAAATTAATTAAAAATAAAAAAAAAGAATCAATTGGATTTTAATTATTGATAAAATTGAAAAAAATTGATTTAGCATGAACAATAATCTAAAAGATTGATTTAATAGAAAATCTTATTTTTTTCATATATATATATATTTTATAAAATTAAGAGTATATTATTATACTTAAATATGTAACTAATTTAAAATACAATATATTATATATTTTATTATTTGCAAGTCCTAATAATATCTTAAATATAAATATAATAAATAATATTTTAAATATATCAAACATTTCATGAAGAAGTAAAAAAAAATATATTTAAGTATACTTTAATCTTTATTTCATTTGATGTTATAAAATTTTATTTTACAATGTTTTAGTTGTTTATAAATATTTTTATTCATAATTATTTTCATTAATTTTTCATTGTATTAATGAATATGAATATGGCATAATAATATGAATGAATGATATGAAGTCTCTTATTTGCTTTTTATAATATAATATATGTATTTTATCTTAAGAAAATTTTGTAATATAGTTTAGACAAATAATAAATTTCAATGTTTTATGCTTTGTGTTATATTGAAGTGTTTTTGCATTATATTAATATGAAAAAATTGACAAATTATTTATAAATATATACAGCTAAAACTTTGCATAATAAAACTTTGTAATTTTAACTGAAATAAGTATCAAAGTATTTCTGTAAAATATATTGAAATATTTTTTATATTAATTATTTATATTAATTATTTTAATTTAATAAATTAATATTTTATATTAATTATTTATATATTAATTTTATATTAAAAATTAGAATTTATTTCTCATAATTTTCAAATATCTTATATAAAAAAAATGAGATATTTATATAAATTAGATATTTCTATTAAAATTATAAATAGATGTAATAATATATTATATTATATGAAATACTCTTCATTATAATGTAATTATTTAATGTATATATATATATATATATTATTTAAAATATAATTATTAAAATATCTACTCTATATTATTTAAGAAAAATGTTTAATTGACATTAATATTTAAATGTAAGATATTGGTAGATTATAATTAAATTCTGAAAATTCAAGACATTTTTAAATAATAAAAGTATTAATAATATCGTGCTTCAAGTTAGTTAAATAGATAAATATACTAACAGATTTATAATTTTGTAAAATAGATATATAAAAAATATGTTTTGTTTCATTAGATCAGCGATTTAGATCATTATAATAGTATTAAAAGTATTAAGTTATGATGGAAAAAATCTAATATTTGTAAACACAATCCATTCATAAAGTGTTGTATTACTATAAATTAAATTTTTTTATTTTTTTTAAATATTAATATATAATATGTTATGATATATATTTTGATTTATGTCATATTTCTACTATTGATAATAAATATGATTATCATTTCTAAAATTTTTACTTTAGAAATGAAAAAATTAAACAAAAAAAATTTAAAGTGAAATTTTTTAAAAAAGAAAAATTTTTATAAAAAAAATAATTTTATAATCGATTGATATTTTATATACATATAATAATACTAAATTGCATTTTAATATTATATATTATTAGAAATATATTTTTATTAAGATTTGGTATCATAGAAATATATTATAATAAAAAAGACATAATAAAAAACATTTCACTTTATAAAATTCTTTTTTTATCTTTAAATCAACTAGCAATAAAACATAGATTTGTTAGATATATATAAATTGATTAAATATTAGTTAAATTTATCTGATTATAACGATTTTCAATCATGTTTTTTAATTTAAATGAGAAATTGCTATTAACAAGTTACTTAAAAATATTAAATTATTACATTCAAAGAAGTTAAATTTGATTAAAAAAAAGAATTTAAAATAGTAAATATTTTATAATTTACTTATACCAAAAATGTAACTTATGCCAAAATTTATCTTTATTTTGATATAGTCTGTCAACGAATTGATTAGCCAAGTTTTATAAGTCAATTGATTAAATCAGTCATTTAATAGACACACAAATAGAAGTTGGCTTATATTAATACTTTTAAATTATGTTTAATATTATGTATTTTTCTAAACAATAAAAGAAATATTTTAAAGGAATAGGAGTTTTCTTATAATTAAATTGCAAAAATTGAAATTAAAATTGCTTATTGTATTATTGTTAAAGTTTTATTTAATTAAGCAGATAATTAAATTGATACAAACAATATTATATACTTTAAACAAAAATTATTTAAATAATTTTTTATATCTTAAATCAATAATAATTGATATAATTACATTGTTTATTCAAATTTAAATATATTACATATCTAATAATAATTATATATTGTATAAACTTTATATTTTTTTGATAAATAAAAAAAATATAAGCTATGACATTAAATTATTATTAAACTTTCAAATTATTAGTTTGATTATTTCAAATATTTATTAATTTGATAAATTTTTTATTTTATTTTTAAAAGTTATTTTTGCAACAATTTATTTATATATTTAAATTTCAAGCAATGGATGATTGATATAATATATAACTTATAAATATTTTAGAAATTGTAAAATTTTTTTTCAATTTCTAAATTTATATTTAAACATTTTCATTTAATTTTCAATTATGAGTCTTCTTTTTTTAATTTATTCCGTGCTAGGAACTATAGTAGTAGTGACTACATAAGGTTGAATACCTTCTAATTCTTCTTTTGGCAGATTTTCCATAAGCCAAGCATCAATTACTGGAAGATTTTTTTCACTCCATTCTTTTATTTCCATTTTGCAACATTTTTGTGTCATAAGATCGGGTGGGAATTCATCTGAATGACTTTCATACAATTTACGCAATATATCTAAACCTTTTTGATTGCTAAATGAGGAAATTGCAGATTCCACTATGCGGTACCAAATATGTTTTTTATCGTCAAATCTTTCTTTCACAGTATCCCAATTATCTGTTAAAAAGTTGAAGAGGGTTGTATAACCAGCTGCACCACCACTCAATGTAACAAAAATTAATTGGATGTCTGAATCAGTAAAGTTTCCATTTTGATTGAGAATTGTTACATTTAACAATCTGTAATATTGTTATTAAGAAAATGAATAATTATTATTTTTCTAAATGAAAAAAATATAAAATATAATTTTTATTATTCAAATTTTTTTAAATGTTTTAATACATTTTAATGAATTAATCGAACATAATTATTTATGATTACCTTTCGATTTTATATGTGTCTTTTGGACAACCAGCTAAAGATTTTAAAAGATAAGTTCGTTCATTTTGTTTCCTTTCTGGACTGTTTTGAGGGAAATTTATAACACGTTGAAGTCCAAATTCCCATTCTTCTTCGGTACCCCATTTGAATACCGGACAAATAAATTCATTGGCAACTCTATAAAATAAACAATATTAATTTTTGTATTATTATTATAATAATAATTTATTATCATAATCATAATAATAATTAATAATTAATAAAATTTAATCTTTAAAATATAATAATATTTGATTGATAGAAGTTTTAATATAATTTTAATATAAAATACATAATTTTCAATCATTTATTTAAGTTATTTTATAATATAATATTAATATTGCAATTGAAATCATAATTATCTTTTAATTTTTAGGAAAGATTGTATACTTCTATTACAAAGAATTAT